TGGATTGAGTAGGTGGGGGGGGGGTATAATTGCTATTGCTCTGGGACTCACAATGTAAGGAGCCATGAAATAGTCAAGAAAACCTTTTCGTATTATTTCAGTCATTTTAACGTTGTGTAACATAAAAAAAAAGCCATCAAAATAATGCTGCCCCCTGCTCTGAAAAGTCTAACAACATTTAACCAATAAAACTAATGCTAGATGATTTATTTATAAATAAAAAAGTTTTTTCAAAAATTATATTACGCTTCGCTCTGTTTAAAAAGTTCAACACATTTAAAAAAAATCTACTCGCAAAGATGAACAAATAAAATAAATAAATTATTGAGTTACTATAGAAATTTAAAAGCTAGATAGAAATTAACTAAAAAAATTAAATTACTTGTGAGGAGGAAGCGGAACTGCTTCACAATACCGCTGATGATGTTTAGTGAGTGGGCTTTTTAATTTTAATTAGTATTTATAACAGAAAAAAGAAACTTTAAGTTTAAGTATAACGAATTTGTAAGAATGGTTGAAGCAAAATTAATTAAAGTTAGTAAACCAAATTCTAAGAACTTAAAAACTTTTTTTTTTTTAGGAGAAAGAGTCAGTCATCGGGTACACTGAGGGAAATGGATTAGTAGTTAAAAATATTTGCATTAACTTTGATGATTATTATTAATTTCATTAAAAACGCAGTTATTGAAAGTATTTTTGTTTCCAAAATCAAGCACACAAATTGCTTTAAATTAATACATTTGATACAATACATACATAAAAATACAATACATACATAAAAATACAATACATACATAAAAATACAATACATTCATAAAAATACATTACATAGATAAATATACATTACATACATGAAACAATACGTGCAAGACTTGCCAGTAAATATACAAAGCTCATTTAAAGCAAAGTAGTGTTTTTTGTTAATTAAAAAACAATTTTTTAAATTAACTGAAAAAAATATATATATTTAATTGTATTACCGGTGGCGTAGCATATGTGATTATGCCCAAAGTAATAAAATAGTTGACTAGTTGCAATAAAAATTTTAAAACACTACTACTTATGTTTAATAAAAGCTTTTTTTATGAGTTCCTTGCTGTTTTATTAGGTGCCCCAAAAGAATTATATTTTTTTTGAGCCCGCGCCAACTTCCTCTTTAGTTACAAGTATTTCCTAAATTTATATCGAAATTTCACCATAAAAAAACATTTAACAAATTGTTTACAGTATTATAAACATAATTTAGTTTTTACAAATTGCCCGTTATCTAGATTAATGACACCAATTAAAGGAGAACATTGATATCTCTGTATTTCAAAAGCTTCGCGCACTTTTCGATCAAACTTTTTTGATTCAATTTAATTGTTTTAACATTCTCCCACTTTATTTCTTGTGAGCAAAACTTATTAAGGGTGGCTATTGCCGACTGACAATATTTCCCCTCGTTTAAACTTTTTTGATGTTGTTGAATTCGAGTCCTAATTTAAAGTTTGGTTTCGCCTACCTATCTCTTTGAGCGTTCACATTCAATTTGATATTAACATTGTCATTCAATTAGATTCAGAGTTGACTATTTTGTAGCAAATTAGTTTTGTTTTTCGATGTTAAAAGTGTTCTTAAATTAGGATTTGATTTGAAGACTACTTTATAGCCAACTTTCCGAAATATTTTCCTTAATTTTAGGGATAATGATGTTAATTTTAGGGATAATGATCCATGGTAATGATGCAGTAGGGAGATTAAGAGGACCTGATTGAATTTTGCTGTTTTTTATGGAAAAACAAGTTTTAAATCATATTTAGAGAAAAAAAAAATTTGTTAAGAAAGAGCATAAAAGGTCTAGTCACAGTCTTAAATGATATAGTAAAGAAAAACGAAATGTCCAAAAGACAAAAACACGCAGTAATAACTTGCCTCTATAAAAAAGGGGATAAAGCCGATATCTCAAACTGCAACCCATATCACTACTCAACACCGACTACAAAATTCTAACCAAAATAATCTCTAGCCGACTAACAAATATACTACCATCATTTATTAAAGAAGACCATACCGCATGCGTCCCCCGCAGATCCATCAACGAAAACCTTGCATACATAAGAGACATTATTTATATCGCCAACAAAAACAATTTAGATGCCTCCATCATTTCCATTGACCAAATCAAAGCTTTCGACCGCGTCAACCGAAACTTCTTATAAGACTGTCTTTTTATGTTTGGATTTAGCTTTAGTTTTATAAACCTCATCAAAACACTTTACTATGACATTAGTTCGTATCTTAAAATAAACGGCTTTTTATCAAAAAAATTCAACATACACAGGGGAGTAAGATAAGGATATCCTCTCTCGATGACTCTATATGTCCTTCAAGCTAAGATTTTTGCAGGAATTAGTATCATCGGCAACAATACGCTGATGATACTAATTTCTACCTCTCGTCGGACAACTCTATAAAAGCTCTAAACAACGCCCTAAACATATACAAGCTAGTGACAGGAGCAAATCTAAATACTACCAAATGCTAAAGCCTGTGGCTCGGCATTAACAGATCTATAATGAAAGAGAACTTTCTAAATTTTTCATGGCACAACACAACCCTCCAGAGCCTAGTATAACCTTCTCAAACAAAAATGACTATATAAACCGTCAGTGGGATGAGTGTAGCGAGATTATTAACAAAAAAAGAGATAGCTGGAAACGATTCAAGTTATCCATAAAAGGTAGAGCTATCGCAGTAAACCAAACTACTTTAAGCAGCTTATGGCATCTAA